TTTATCATGCTTTACAGCACATTTGGGCAAATTTCGATGATCTTCCATTATCATTATTTTTAGAGCATTCAAAACTATAGCTATAGCATTTGTATGAATTAATGTTGTTTTTGTCACTACAGACTTTGGAGAAAGACACTTGCCTAAAACCAACTCTCCCCATCTGCGTAACGCCCATTCCATGATGTTGAGGTATCCTCCTACTTCTGGTTATTAGGCTACTGCGCCTTTTCAGCAATGCTGAAGAAAGCCTGAGACCTCTTGTGGCCTAAAAACTCACTTTTTACTGCTTAGACTAAGGGTGTCACCATACAACCTTTTCATTTCCAATAAGATAAAGCAACTTTGAGAATTGGCCAATACCAATGTACACCTGATACGATACTAGTATGAATCATACCAGGTTTTATTACTCATGTTATGCTGCAGAATTTTAGAAAAAAAGGCTTGATCAAGTTATATCACTAAAACGGGGAACAAAAGTCAACAACAAAAGTTAAGAAAACAATTGACCCAAATAAAATTAACTAATTGGATAGAGAAAACTCTTAACGGAAGCAAAGTGTTTCTATCAGCATGAAAATATTGGAGATTTTAGATTCAGGCCATTAAAATCTGATATTTCGAACTGATATCCAATATCAATATTGCATCAGGACATCCCTAATTTGCACCATGGTGCTTATGACGTAATAGAATTGCCTGCACATATAATATATATATAAAGGGTACATTTTATCATGCCATTCCTCGAATCTTAAAAAAGGTGACATCAGGTGAGATCTAAAAGTTTATGTTTCCTAATGTTGTTGTTTTTTTCTGTAATTACTCTACAAGAAATCATTTATTCACACATACAAATTCAGGATCTGAAGCTGGGAACAGAATTCATGAATAAAGAGAAAAACATTTTGAAAACACTAGCAACAGCTCAATAGAGTAAATGTATTTGCATCAAATAATTAAGAAACCAGACTGACACTAATTAAATAATCATTTGTGCCTGGCTTCACTCTTTCCATTCCCATGGTTTCAACCACAAAACAAACAGTTTTAATGGAGAATTAAAACCATGAGAAAGCATGCAGAAAATGAAAAGGGAGTCAGTGGCACTGTAGTGGATGGGGTACCTGCATCATTGGAAATTCTTCATACCGGTATGTCCTCATTTGAACTCAAGCTGGCTCTGTTAAGAATTACTTTTTTTCTTTTTGCCAGAGCAGACCCAAAGCAATGCATGCTCAGGAAAGACATGCAAACTCCACAAACTCCGAGGGGATCCCATTATAGTCACACCTGCTTTGATTCCTTGCAAGAGAAGCCTGTTCCGAGCTGCATGGATATTCTGTATTCTAATATTTTGAAATTCTAAAGATAATCTGCAAATAAACTGTACGTATCACAACTTTTTCACACAGTATGTTGTTTCTAATAGGTTAATATGCTGGAAAAGAGCAAAAGTTATCATAGCATAAAGGTATTAAGGGAATATGCAACATGATAAAATATATGTCATACACAGCAGGAGGAGGCCACAGTCAGGGAGAAGTGTTCTATTTTCTTCTTTTATATTAGTTTTGAACATGAGCACCTATAAAAAGTAAAAAGAAGTCTCAGCATGTGGACCGATCACAAAGCCTTATCTCTGTTTATTTCACTGATTGTACAGAGAGATCATAGATTTATTTTATGTAATGATTCTTGAGAGCAGATGTGTTAAATTCTTTAATACTAATTTACTTACAGGATATATATCTGTCAGATAAATATCTTGGCTGTAGATTTGATAGAAAACTTTGAGTAGAAGAGCAAGGTTTGATAGTAAATAATGGATGCAGACTTTCCATGACCTATATTCCTTGTAAGCATGTGACTAAACAGTGGTTTTTCCCTCGGTTAGGTCACCAGTCAGAAGCCAAACGATTTTTTTCACATTTGCAATCAAAACCTACAGAAGAGGATTAGGGCCACTGAAAAAAAAAAAAAAAAAAAAGTTAAATGATTTTTTTTATTTTATTTCAGTATAGTATGGGAAAAAAGTCAGAATTCTGACTTTAATCTCAGAATTCTGACTTTAATCTCAGAATTCTGACTTTAATCTCAGAATTCTGACTTTTTTCTCAGAATTCTGACTGAATTCTGAGATTAAAGTCAGAATTCTGAGAAAAAAGTGAAATAAAATTTAAAAATCAGTTTACTTTTTTTTTTTTCAGTGGCCCTAATCCTCTTCCGTAAAAACCACCTCTGGGTTAGTAGGAAGCCTTTTACCATTTATGCCACACTTAGCTCATGCATTTCACCTCTTGTAATTTCTACCATGCATTAAATGGATGTAGCTCCATAATTCCACAGGAAGTTGTTCAATATGAAACATTTAGCATAGACCCTAATTATAGCCTGTTAGCAAACAGCATGTGAAAGACGAGAATGTGTAACATGTAAGACCTTACTGCAGTCGCTGATTTTTATATTGGGATTTTAATTGAACAAATAAAAATGATGAGTTTTTTTGATCTAAGAATATCTGGACAGATTTTTGGCAGTTTGAATTGACATAGATATCAAAGTTTAATCTAAGTACCGGTATGTCTCTTATAATTTACTCCAGATGTTATAATGCATCTGCATGTTTTTTTGGTAATATCATTTCATTTTTTGACCGTTTCATCAGTTTTAACAAATGCCATCAGCTGTCTCTTAGTTTATTATTAGTTAAAAATGTGCTAAACCTAGTGAATTTTACAATAAGATATATATCTGACTGTCTGAAATAGACTTTTTGCATTATATTGTGAAAGTCTAAGTAAAATTATTGCAAATCACATGTATCTTTGTTGTGGAGCATTTTTATTGACTATGGCAATAAATAATCATAAACAGTGGTGTAATCTTCCAAAAACCTTAAATTAATTATCTTATATTCTGTAAATTGTGTATAACATCGTATTTTAATTGACTCTAATTGTGGTCCCGTTTAGGTGACTTTTCTATGCTGATATAAGGAACATTGGAGATGACCCTTCCTGTTGTGATTTATTGGAGTCAAAAAAGCAGATTAAATAGAGAAATTACTTGAATAACATGCCCTTGTGGGTAGTAATTGCTGCAAGGCCAAATCATCCTAGTGGTTCCATTGTTAAAAAGGCAGGCACAAAACAACCTACAAAGGTATGACAGGTTTAATAACCTGCATTTAGAATGTAGTAGTTAAGAAAAACATTTTAGTTGTTATTCAGGGAAATTATAAAAATGAATCAACACCTATTTGCCTCTGAGCTAATAGTTAAAAAAACAAGGTGAGGGTCTGGGTAGCGTTATTTAGAAAGTATCATGCCATGTTATTGTCAGGAATCCAGTTTGTGTGGTCTGTTTTTGTGTTTCCTTTTAAAAGCATCATGGCAATTATATTATATTATATGTCTGAACTTACAGAGATTAAAGCACAGGGTACAGTAGATAATGCAGATCTTGGTCTGCTGTGTTGCAGGGGCTTTCCCCCATTGAAAACTGCCTCCCTCTGTCGTTTGTGCTGAGAGGAAGAAGACTGTTTAGCTCCGTCAGCACAGCAGCTCGTGTCCCGTGTCCCTCCCAAGGTGACTTCTCTGTTGTTGGCAGCCAGAGCCATGAAAACAATTCGCTGGAGTCTGTCTTTGCTTCTCCCTCCATATATTTGTTATCATTTAGATGCCACCTGGAAATTGTCCATTATACCTTTTTGTTTTCATTAATTTCCTCTTTATCCACATTTACATAATCATTTTTCCAGGAAGCCAGCCCGCCAGATAAAACCAGAGAAAGGCTGCATTCATTAAAAATATCTCTTCAGTGCCTTTTGGCCTTGTCTACTGTGAGATTTGTCTTGGATAAGTTCCAACACATGAACACCTGACCTTTTCCTCTTCCAGTTCTAGTAGTGGAGATTGCTCACCTACTCAGCAGCACACAGACATCCCACACAATCTCTCATGCAGGCAGGGAAACAGACTTTGCAAGCAGCTGTCTTTAAATTGGAGTCAAAGATTGGAGCTTGAAACCTCAGCATTATCATTTGTCATTTACAAAGAATAACTTGGGGTGGAAACTGCAGGTATGTTATCACTAGTGCATTAAATAGGCCATTGTCCCATGTCTACAGTAGGTCATCTATTTTGGTCCAGGTTAAGTCTCTGCACGGGAGTAGGTGTGCCAGTTTCCTCTCTCTGTGTGTCTTCCTCTCTCCCTCTCTGGTAATTGGTTAAGAGGATTCATCTTGCTGCTGCACGTAAGCATGGACTGCCACCACAAAAACACACAGACAGATTGCTCTTGACAACACACAGACCCAAACACATTTTTCATTGTCCCTGAAGCGAATGCATCAGTAAAACTGATTAAATTAATACATCTGAAACATGTCAAACCCCTACTTTAGTTATGGAAAGCTTGAATTTGAAGTTCTGCCTTTTAAGAACCCCATAAAGTTTAATAAGCTTACATATATATATATA